ATAAACTTGACGCGTACAACAATTTAAAATCACCTCTCAGCTTGATGTTGTCGGACCATTTGCCACTGTTCTTCAAGGTGCTGAGGAGAGAACGAAAGTGGCATATATTAATACTACTTGAGTACACCTTCGACTTTCCAAGCTCACGGTTCAATAACACAATTTTAAGACATTTCGAGAATTATCCTGGTTTTTTAATTCCCATAAATCAGTCGAGAGCTAGAGTCTCGCTGAAACAACAAAAGAAAAACAGCAGTGAAGATAGCTAGAAACTAATAAGATCGCCATTACTTCAACTTTCCGCGTTTTTACGTGTATGTTTTTAATTGGCTCTGAGCTACCTAATAAGCCAATCAGCGTGCACCACTTTTGATTTTCCCAGTTGCAATGGCACTAGTCACACGTCCTTGCTCAGCGTTGTGACTTGATAAGTATTGGCTTTGCTTTGGGAGAACAGAGTATCTTAAGCTCGCCAAGAGGTCCTACCTGAAGCATATGACCGAAAAAAGGAGACAGCACTGGGACAAGTACATTCTGATAGTCACACTGAGGGCAATGCAAGATAAACAACTTGAAAAAATTACCTGAATTGAGTTAAGGAATGCAACAGTATTACATCAAAAGAACATACAACTTGGCAATCGTATTTGCCCTGCTGGTCTCCAAACAGATATCTCATACTTATTTGAAAAGTACAAAAATTCCTCTGCAGATGATTTCCCTAACAGTTAACCTGTACTCATCAACTCCTCAAAGACCAGAGGCACTGGGACCTAGGTTCGAACAAAGACCACTCTATCTGGGCCGGGATGTTAAAAACACGAACAGATTAACTCATGAAATTAAGAGATCCTCGCAGCTAAGAACACTACTGAAACGAGTAGTTGTAAATAGGACCTGAAAAAAATTCAGGCCCGTACGGGATTTGAACCTATGACCTCTGCGATACCGGTGCAGCGCTCTACCAATTGAGCTAACAAGCCAACTGGGAGCTGGTCAATGAATTAGGCCCAAATATACATCCAATTGAATGATGATTTTAGATATATGAAAGTTCATATATTTGCACTGCGGTGGAGAGATGAAATTAAGAGATCCTCGCAGCTAAGAACACTACTGAAACGAGTAGTTCAGTTCAGTTGGCTTGTTAGCTCAATTGGCTGATTTTTTTTTTTTTCAGGTCCTATTTACAACTACTCGTTTCAGTAGTGTTCTTAGCTGCGAGGATCTCTTAATTTCATCTCTCCACCGCAGTGCAAATATATGAACTTTCGTATATCTAAAATCAGATTAACTCATGTATAAGGTATTTTTTCTCTTTGAATCCGTACCTTTGCGGAGAGTTTTCCTAATTACATTTCAGGATTCAGTTTAGCCATACACTAAGTCAAAACCTTACAAAACTCGTGCAAACTAAACGCTTTTACAGAAGAGAAATCAGAATAAGTTACATCTTTTAATCCTGAATAAAAGCTGGGTCTCGAACTACCGGGCCCAGGAATCCGTTGTAGGCAAAACCAGAAAACAAATGAAACGATTTACGACTGCCAATGGAAAGTAACTACGGGTCCCTCTGTTTCTCTTTAAATTTTTTTTTCAAAACTTCACTGAATCAAGAGCACGTAAGACCCTCTTCAAGCTCATCCCATCTAAGACCAGCTGTGTTGTTTAAGTCCTACGCGTTGATTTATTCATTTACTTATTCATTTATTTATCTGAATGAAAAGCTCTACTCGAAGAAAATATCGTTGCGAAAGGATACGCACAACAAATCTCAGTCTGTAATTCGGAACATGCTGCAGAGACTTTACGAGATTATCAACCAGGAGTTGCGCTAGTCCGGAAATACTATAGAAATCATGGCCAAGACAGACCGCAGAAAACCCGAGAGTATGGTAACTGAAATAGAGATAAAGCAAATGTCAGTTTTGTATGGAACGATACTGCGAGCAATTTTGTCGTTGTATGTAAAATTAGTAACTTTAACCCGATGAAAATTTTCCCCCTTAGGTTGTCGAAACGTAAGTCACTGCAACCGACAGAAGTCCTTTCAAGCACTACTCTCACCCAAGAGATAAGACTTCAAGTTCAAATGACGATCGTTGGAATAAAATGCAAGTGGCGTCAAAATGGAAGTAATAAGTGGAATATGAAGTTAAAAAAAGGTAAAATGCAAGCCTCAAGACTGGAAGTCCAACCGGTGTTATGAGTTTATGTTAGGGAGTAATTTAATAAAAAAAAGAAGTTCTCATTTAGTTTTGAGCGTAAGGGAAAAATCTACATTACTACAAGGATTCGACCACGGCTAGTTTCGATTTCCAGCCTTGATGCTCTACTCACTAGGCCATAGAAAACTCACTGGCCTAGAGCTAATTGAAGATACATTACTGGGTCATAGACAAAGTTCATATATGGCACGTGTCCTTCATACTTAGAGGATCAGCAATGTCTAAGACGCTCTAGGCAGAAGGATTGTACACAGGCTCTATCTAGCTCGGTTATCGAATGAAAAGAAAGTCAAAGCAGATTTCCTAATTTTAAGCAATGAATCTCTTCTTAAATTTCTTAGACGTTGGCTTGGTGAAAAAACGTTTGGCGCATGATACAATCTTTTACTCACCATGAATCAGCTAAATGATATAAGAAGCCCTTTGTGACTGAAATAGGGGTTGGAACGAAGGGTGCACCGCCTTTGTCTTTGTTTTCCTGTCCCTGTGGGAGAACTGAACGGACAGAGAAAAATAGGAACAGTCTCGAGGGGATTATCAAATGACTTGATAACAATTACTGACCAAGCCTTCGATTGAGTCATTAGCCCACTTTGTTATTTATCCATTCGTTTATTTATTTATTCACTCACCTTTTCTTTTTTAAATAATAAAAAGGGACGAAACGAAAGAGGCCAATACCCAATTAGGTTCTTGTTTCCTGTAACATCGCGCGGCGAGATAAGTCTCGGTAAGATTATCCTTAAAAAGGCTGCCTCAGTAATTAGGTGATGGTATAAATTTCCTCAGTGCAGTTTAATATTGCGGGGTTTGTCAAAAAATCGGATCTATACTTACCATATATGGCGCTCGTATCGAGGTCGTGCATGCCAAGAGATGCTAGATACTCAGGAAAAATGGCGGCTTTGACTGATGGATTATGTATTCTGTTTAAACAACTGAAATATGAAAAAATTAAAAGGGAAAATTATAGAGTTTGTGAATTCGGGAGTTGAGTGTCTTAAAAGTAGGACTGGTGCTAATGATCAGAGAGTTTCCAGATTTTGCCGACATAGATCCCACTCCAGTTTAGTGACATGGAACCAAGAATACGAAAAATTATAACCCCCAATCAGGCTCCCATTGTTCGAAGGGTGAATAATGGTATTCACTGGATGATACTCAATCCTTTGTATAGCGCAATACGTTTTGTTAACACTTATCCACTGGAAAGCGATTTATCCAAAGGATAGCGTTTTCTGCCCTTTGAACAACTGGGCTTAGAACAGAGGCAAATATCACACCCAGCCAAAAATAATGAAAATAAAAGCAAGCAAACTGCTGACAGGGAATGAAAACGTTAGGGAACAGATCAAGATTAGTCGAGAAAGAAACTCGCGTTTTTCAAAGCTCAACCTCATCGCGAAGCGAGGGAAAACCTGGGTAATACCACATTACTTTCGGCACTTAATTGAAAATTGTTTTGTTATCATGAAATTTATACCATTTAGAACCGCAATGGCAAATGGTATTGAACTATAGTACTCGCCGACGTCCTTAAAATCAAAACTGAAATTTCCATGTATATTGAGTGATCATCGATCACTGCAAATCTGGAAGGGGGAAGTAAATAGAAACGCTCTAGATTTTTCCGATTAGTCCTTGATTAACTCAGACCATCGTAAATTCCTGCCATTTCGAGTCTAACGGTAAAACCACGACTAACGATTACCAACATGAACTTCAAATACAAACTCTGTTTTGCTGTTTTCCCACTTCCCAGTTTTTTTTTTTCAATGCAAATACAAGTTCATCATAAATCGATCTTTCATGGAATCATTTGCTGTCGAATTGTTTTCATTTTTTCTACCATTGAACATAACGCAATGTTGTCAGCCCCATAATTCCACAGAGATCGCGCCAGAAACAGATGAGACACCTGGTTATAAGACACTGGTGAAAGTATAACAAGAAAGAGTGCAGCCCCGTCCACACTACGCTGAATAAATTTTGAGATGCATCTACAACTTTCCTTAATAATCAGTAAAAACTATCCCGAGGAAAAAAAATCTTCCCTAAAACGCACTGAAAAGTGGATACAATACGAAAGACCAGTTTTGTGCTAGGAATGGACAAAAAAGAATTTTGAAAACCGAGCCTTTTAAAACGATAAGGAAATTCTGTCCATAAAATTAGCTCCTTTCAGTGCATAAGGATATGTTCAACCACTTCTGCCACTGATGATCATTTTGGCGAGGACCGAAAACACCGTTATCCAATGTGGATACACCTTAAGAGTGAAAACCCCGTCTTTAAATTGATTCAGCGTGGTGTGAACGGTACCTGAGACAGCGTTTGTACTTACTTTGCTAGCAGGATTATATTGCCGAGTAACGGTATGACATGAGATGCACATGGATTGTGCACATAAGGAGTTCCATTAGGCATCGACCCAATGGACAGCCCCTCACCGGCCGCCGCCGTCTGTACAGAAACAAGTTATAACCGGTTTATAACAGACGTACAATGACCAGTGAGTACTTTGGAAATATATGTGGTTGAGTGAATTTAGGTTGATTCCCTACTAATAAAACTAGCCAAGTTCCTCCCTTAAAGGGGGTAAGTCTCTAAAGAACCTGTGGTGCTACGTCGGTGTGAGAGTATAACAGTATATATAATAATATAACAGTATATCAACACAGTTCAACTGAGTTGATAACGTAAATTGGCCACCGGAAAGCGTTTCAAAGCTGACGATTTGAGTCTAAGGCCTTCGTAAGAGCGTGGGACGAAAGGCTAAAGCTGGAAACGTCAGCTTTGAAACTCATTACGGAGGCCAATTTACGTTATCAACTCAGTTGTTAATATTAAATTACCGCGTTCCTTCCCACCTACTTACGAAATGCACAGAAGATGGTGTGCCCAGTAATGTAAGCTATGTTGTAGAAGACTTCATTTTCTTTTAAATTAAGTATTAATAACAAGACTAGGACAGAGTGCTCTGGCAAGGGACATTCAGTTTTCATATATACCATCAAGAAGTAGCTTTTTCAGTTTGGCAATTCCTTCTAAATGTAACCATACTTAGGCGAATGACATACGGTGAACGGTAAGAGTTGAACTCGTACTGTTTACATTTCAACAAAAATTGACAACATTTGCAATTGTGGAAACACTTTTCGTTGTTTGGATCTGTCTTGGGGAGAGATGAAAGGAAAATCAAGGGAGACTTTTTCACTAGCACTCGCAATGAACGTGGTTTTGAGTCTTCTTAATGTGACACCTTCAGACTTAGAGAGGGATACGTCTAAAAATACAATATTGAAAAGCTAGTTAAGGTGTGGTTCCCAAGAAACATATCTCACAAGTGGTAATGTAGAGTAAAATGACGCGCTGAAGTTATTCTCGGAAAACAACAACGCCAAAAGCAACACCTATTAATCCAATGAGGATGGATTTCACCTTAGGATTCTTTTTTTCTAGAGGGAGTGCAGTCTTACTTCCTCTAGAACCTAAAGATCGTCACCAATCTGATTTTTTTTCAAATAAACCGTTCGATGTTTTTCGAGAGCTCTATAGTGCGGGCAATTTGAACTCTCAAGGTCTATGACTCTCTCTTTAGAATAAAGCGAAAAAGATAGACTGCCTTGTCAGCATCCTGGTCGTTACAGTATCTTAAAATGTAACTAAAGAAAAACTTGATATCAATACCTTGGTATTGAGCATAGCACAGCTTCGCACAACTGCCATAATGGTGGTCACAGCATACATTATCTGAAAAGAAATAAGAGTGTAAAATACTGACTTGTAGGAACAACACTAACATAGAGATCCTAAACTATAAGAGAGCGCAATGTTTAATTGAGGAATGAAAGTAAAGCAGGATTGCTTTGGTTTTACTTTACTACTTAATACGATTGGTTTAGAAAGCTTTCGCCACACTCTCAACTAAAACAAATCGTAGCTTCGTCTAAGCTCGATTTCTCGGACCCCGCCTTTGAGCCTCACGAAATAGGTTCGATGAGGAGCGCGGGCTCATTTTCTGAACAGCCACTGCTAATGGAGCATAGACTTCGTCGGTCGTGTTTTTTTCTTCGCATGAAGTCAGCCATGTGAATTTTATTTTTAGTTCTCATCGGTGCCTTGCTACGTATCACTTTTCCCTGATTGGCTGTAGAGAGTGCGCTGGTAAGTTAGTTTCGTTCTATAGCTGAACGTGATCTTAGAACAGCAGCCCTTCCATCACAACACAAAGATTTGTGCTGGCTGACAATTCCAAATCTAAATAAACATGGAATGAAATCAAATACCTGAAATCTTCTTCCCCTTAGCTCATCTGAAAGTTAGACGAAACCACAAAATCAGCAAATTCAAAATCTTTAAACACAAATATGAAACATGTTTGGGTATTTTAGCGCGAGTTTCGTGCGTTCCCGCGGGTACAGTTTTCGAAAGAATTCCACACGCTCGACGCAAGTGCAAAGCTGCCATGCATTCGTTTTAAATTTATACTTTCGTAATTTTCACCGTGTAGCATGTACGCTATACTCTGTGGGAGGTCAAAAAGTAAATTGGAAATTGAATTAAGCGGCCAGATGGACAAAAATGAAAGGAGAACTGTACGTACCGTTTTGAAAATAGCCTGATGGATCTTGGTCCATTCCAATAAATGAAACAAAATTCCCCGGAGATGAGATGGCCCTACATAGAAAAAAAGGCACAACATCAAAAGTACATTTTAAAGAATTTATGTTGAGTTTTTTGCGAGAGTCAGACAGTATCGTCTATCAGTAGAGTGCAGTTTCAATGGAACCGTTTTTTCACGTAGAAAATTACTGAGCTTAGAATAAACCAAGGGAGAAAGATTGCAGACGATGGAGAATGATCTACCACGACTACGGAATGACTAGCTTGACAGTTTCGGCTAACTTTTTCGACATAGGAAAAATATGGCATAAATCCTCTAGGAAAGTCAAGATTCATCTGAAAACAAGATTATGTTAAGGTACATTATACTTAGAGAAAAGGTTAAAGTCACCAGGAGCCACTGAGCTGGAGCTTATAATCAGTTAAGTTAACAGTTTTCACCGGCGGGAAAACGCGAGTTACCGTGCGGTGATTGGTTTTAGTTTTGCATCTGGTTGGTTGAGAGGCTAGTGCATGTTTCCTAGACCGATCACAGAGCCAAGCCACTGAACTAGAACTTATAATCACTTATTTTAACAAATTTTACGGGCAGAAAAACTTGAGTAACTATGCGGTGATTGGTTTTAGTTTTGAATCTGATTGGTTGAGAGGCTGGTGCTTGTTTCCTGGACCAATCACGGAGCTAAGCAAAGCAAAACATCGGACGATGAATCAAAACTCACTCTACAATAATTTGCTACTCACCCTTGTATTTTTTCACCCAGCCACATTTCTCTGACGGGAGTTAACAGCTGAACGAGGAATTCATTTTGCTTTTCTTTGCTTAGCTTATTGCTGAAAATCAAGAACCGAAAAAGAGAGAGGAAATACTTATCAGCTACAAGCAAAGAGAAACCCGGAGGAAATTATCAAAGCTTATACTTTAGCTGAAGGAACAAATTATGTTTAATACAGATGAAACACTTACAGTTTCCCAGTTTATTGCTAAAATATCGAGACCAGAAAAAAAAACAACAACAACACGAAAAATACAACAAAGACAAACATATTCGCCAGGCCAACACCCGTCGCGTACGTGTAAAGAGCAACAGAGATTCTGGCCTGAAGGAAATTACAAAAGCTGATACTTAGGCTTAACGTAACGGTTTCACTCGAAGCAAATTGAAACCTTAAACAATAATATTGAAAAAAAAATTCGAGTGGGTGGAATGCCCGAGCACAAATTCGAGGATTTGGGAAAACTTGTTGCATTCCTTTGAAATGTCGGGTTTCTTGTATAGCAACATTGAAAGGCATCAATACCTGGCAATAACCAATGCTTCTGTTAAGGTGCATCTGTCTTTCACGGGAACTAGCTCACCAACAAACAACGACTGTATATGCTCTTTAAGGGCATCAAATACTGGCTGGAAGACATTAAATACATCCAGAGCTTACTAAGCTATAAATAAATTCGTTCACGGAAAAAAAGTTGTTTCTCAGCTTGCTAAGCTAATTTACTAGTACTGACAAAGTTTCCGCCGGACAGACAGCAGTGCGCACTCTTTCTTTAACAATAAAATTAATTCCTCACCACCAGCAGCTCCCCGAATTCTTTACAAATCTTTATTATTGCGCCACAAGCGTGACGGCGAGCATGAAGAACATCAGGACTCCAAGGACCCTGGAATCACAGCAAGGAGGGTGAGCAACACCTAAATTTCTACGTGCACAAGCAATAAATTTGCTATCTTGCTTGAGCACAGAATGCTTCTCAGGCATTACCAGTCATGCTGTCAAGTAAATCAGCAAGGAGGTCGGTTCAAATTTTCACTTGTTAGAAATTTTTCAGACAAGTTCAATTGTTACTTTCCTTTATCTCAGATTCTGATAACGCAAAAAAAAAAAAAAAAAAAAAGGAAAAAAGGACTATGAAAAATAACAGTCAACTTCATTGAAAAATTCTAAAAAATCAAGAACATTGAAACAAAATAAACACAAGTACCTTGGGTTCACCTGTTGTGTTGAACAGTACAACTTGAAACATCTAAAAGAACAAAGTTTAAGAACTTTTCAATGTCCTGTATTCCAATGCTACTCTAGTAATGTCACGGATTTTCATCCGATTCAGGCCTGAATTTTTCAGACTTTGTTATCTCAACAACTACAGCACGTTGTAAAAAGAATTGATCGATTGGCAACTTGACTCTACAATTGACAGAGGCTATAAATTACAAGAAAAACGATTGAACATTCGTTTATCAACTAAAATGTATTTACGTTCAAAGAAATCTGTTTTTTTAGCTACAGGATTTAAGTTGCTGACTTTTGTATGTACGATCTGCTCTGACGAAGGACTAACGCTCAAAACGTCATTAATAGAAAATTCTTTACGGTGGCCCGTGTATATCATTAACCCAGTTGATAAAACCATTTAATCTCATTTAATTTAAGCCTTTCAGGGATTAAAAAAATGCATCTTTATCCCAACTGATGGCAGCTGAATGTAACTCTGCTTTAGGTCACCTTTTTAAGCACGTCCATCAACAAGTCTTTGCTGTATTTCAGGAATGGATAAAGAGCTTGAATAGCATCTGTCACACTTGACAAAATGTCAGGAACCTGATAAAAATGAACACAAAAACTCAGTCCGCGGTTGTTCAAAGGGTAGATAACGCTATCCAGTGGATAGCGTTGCTGTCCAGTGCATAGTGCAGTACGTTTTCTTAACAGTTATCCTCTGGAGAGTGATTTATCCGTTGTATAGCGTTATCCACTCTTAGAAGAACTGGGCGCGAAACCTTAAATGTGACCTCATATTAGTTGACTTTAAGCCTATCCAGGCTCTTAGTATAACTTAGTTTATTCTTACCTTTGAATCAACATTCAAAGCAGCCTGGATGCATTCTCTGACCAATTCAACAAATGTCACAGACGTCCCACGGAACGTCACCTGGCTGTGAATGATCTCCTGGAGAAAAAAATTACACACAGTGTTATATGCTTTAGAGCTTATTTGAAGGCGAAGGTTACTTCATTTTATTGTATTTTAAGGTCTGAGGTTCGATTCCTCATGGGGACCTTTGTCCCACGCTCAAGACAAGACGATGAAAATATTTCTCCATATCTTCACTGAACTCAAAACTTACTATCTCTCTTGTTCTATTTACAAAAAATGACGCTATCGACATGGCTGATCCTAGTAAGTAACAGTAAGCAGGATGCGTGTCATATGAACTTTGCAATGGGCCTTGCTCGCCATAGAGTCTCTGTGGCTCAGTGGTAGAGCATCGGGACGCGGACCCGAAGGTCTGAGGTTCGATTTCCTATGGGGACTCAGAATTCTTTGTCCCGCGCTCGTAACAAGACGAATTTAATTATTATATTAATTCTCCGTCAATTTTTCTGGAATACACACAGTATACACACTGTGTATTTCCAAGTCGTAGTGCTGCCGGTTATTTAAAGCTTGGAACTTTTTAAAGTTGTTTTCACCTAACCTCATAATTGTCTACTTTAAAGAATCTTGACATCACTGCATCCAAGTAACGAGTAAGTCCATCCCATTCTTGTATCATCTTCTCTGTTTCTTGTGCACTGACTAAAAAAACCAACAGCAGCAATAAAATACGCACACAAACAAACAAACAAGAAACAAACATCATCAGAGCTGGAAACTTAGGCCGTCCAAACGTCTGGGATGGATAAATTTTCCACTCGGACAAGAAATAATTTCACTCGTCCGATCGCACTGCCAAAAAAGCAAACATTTTTTTATTACCCAACTTTGGACATGCAGTAAATCCTTTTTTAATATTTGACACCTTTTCGGCCTAAAAAAATAAGTACCGCTTACAGAGAGTCGACTAAATTTCATTTTGTGTATGTTATATGTGCTAGCATCAATTTTCAAGTGGATTCCACTTCTTACCCAGGTTTTCCGGACAAGTAAGCATGTGATCCGGGCAAGTAAAATACGTGTTGCAGTTGTTCGACGGGGCATGCGAGTTGAAAAGAAAGTCTCTTGCCCTGATCATTTATTTTGAATTTAGAGTCACCTAATGTCAAAGATATTCGCTTAGCCAGAATTTCATTTTCATTTGAAATCGTATGTTAACTTCTGCTTTAAATACTGTGCAAGCAAACCACTTCACCGAGAGCTAATTTGGGATAATAGCTTGTGGTCATCCAGGAGAGATTTGGTCTGTTCTCAGCGCTGCACGACCCGCGTTTCACGCCCAAAAAATATTTGAGACGAGTTCGGGAAGTGGTTTGCCAAGAGTCTAGTAGTAATAGCGCTGGATTTCCTTGCAGATATCTCGTCGGTTCCCAAAGCTCAGGGCCTCATAATGTCATAATTTCATAATTCTGGGCGAAGAACCACTCACGCCGAAGCGCTTGTAACGAGGTCTCGCTCACGGGCTGAGGAGGTTGGAATGTAATAACTGATGAAAGTTTTATCCAAAAATAGGATTGAACCATACTTTTGACATCAGGTGCTGGGGTTTGTGACACCCTCTGTAATAACCAGTCAGCTCCGTAAAGGAAAGTAGCCACAGGGTGCAGCATTGTTAAGTGACGTATTATGTCCATGACCTCTCCCCTCACCTCTGAAACATGACATGGCAGCATGGAACAGTAAGCATCGTAAACGGGCTTAAACGTATACACTGTAAATAGAGACAGAGGCAAAACCAGTGCCCGTGGGTACTCGAACTGGGTGCGAATCGACTGAATTTGGATACGAAACGACTGTGGGTACGAAACGACAGGATACCCTTGCTCACGTGTGCTACGTTGTCATGTGAACACTTCAACTGCGAAATGGAAGCAGTTTTTAAATTCTGAGCATCTGTTTTCCTTTCATTAGGCCTTAAAGCCAAATCATAAAAGCTAACTTAGGTTTTCGTTTGCAAAGAAGTTTCTCAGAATCCCTTCCAATTATATATTCATTTCTTGCTCAGTGGAGCCGAAAGTTGCAGACAAATGAAAGTTTGGAAAATGTTGGTTAAATTAAAATTATTCTCAATTTTATATTTTTTTAATTCCGTTAAGCCAACATTCATTTTTAATTCGACTACTGAAAGGATAACAGTAAATACTTACGGCCATTAACAGACGTAAATTCTCTCTCACTGTTGAAATCTTCCCTGTTAAAAACACTCCCTGGTGAGTCTTCCTCTTCAGGGTGACCAACCTTAAAATGTCATTTGTGAGACCTGTTCAGTGAAAGCACTCTTAATCTATTTTTATGCGATTTCAAAATCCCAAAATCTGATGGGCAACTTTCCTTGTTACTGAACATTTCTATGTAATAATTGAATTTTGATGGTGTGACTTTTGAGACAGAGTCTGAGAGTCTCTTGACCAAAACTAAAGTGGTACAGATAGTCAGTCAATGAGAACTCCAAACAAGAAAAGTGTATGAAGAGTGGAAAATTGGAGGTTCCAAATGACTAGCTTTTTTCCATTTTTATTTGATTGCAAGTTAAGGTGGTTTTCTAGAACAATCACAGAGTCCAGTGAAGCAAACACAATGAAATATCACACTACTTTAGACATGCAGATGAAAATATCACTAGAAGAGAATTTGCTCTTACAACGTAAATAGACACGACAGCCTTCAGCTCAGGGGTCAATGTCTGCCCAATCACATAACTGCATTACTAGGTAATGTTTGAACTTGTGGAGGAAAGTAAAAGGTGCAGTGACAGTAGGATTTATCCCTTATAGATGATAATTCAGGAGTAACTGTTACAAATTGCAGTACGGGAATTATGAAACAGATGATAAAGTGTTAACCTGCTTGTAAAAATAATGTATGAACACCAGCTCAAATAAAACCAACAAATGCAATACCTAATCATTATAATACAAGCAAATTGTTCACCTTAAAAAGCTTAGCTTTGGCAATATCCAATAGTGATGGGAAAACTGCTTGGAATGTTGTGTCCATAGAAATCACAGGACTTCTTAATAGTGTGAGCCAGAGGCCATTTGCTAAGTGTGGCAAGGTCTGTAAAGAACAAGGTCAATGGTTTTAATCAAATTAACACGGATTCCCACATTTTAACATGGGTATGCAGTTTATATTTAAAAAAAGGTTCAGTGCCTCCATTGTGCATGTGAGGTTTGAGGCATTTCCCCAGACACTGCAAAAGTCAGCACAGGAGCCTAGCTCCCAACATTGCCGGGGCTTCTCCCAGTTTTCCCAGCATAATGTGGCAGCCATGAAGAGTGTTACTTATTCCCATGAAGAGGATGTTAGTCCATCATAAACTACTTTGGAAAAAATATACATGTACAAGCAACCCTTCATACCCCAATTACATAGGTGGAGAGAACCAATTTACATAAGAGGAAAGTTATTTTCTCACAATAACAAAAAATACATCAACAAAACAACTACTTCGGACAGGGATCACACCCACAAAAAGCAAACACATCCCCAACTAATGTTGTAAAAGAAGGGGTTATTTCAAAGTTTAAGTCTTCTTAAAAAAAATTTTAACTACAGCTGTGGAAATACTGTAACCCTGGTCAAACTTTGACCTTCTCCACCACACTCAAACTTTACATCTGAACAACCAGGAATAGTTGAGTTCAGATTCCAATATCATTAATGATTTTCCTTATATTCTGTTCCTTTATCACAACAACCTGCTCTTAACCCTGAAACTCTTTAACTCCCATATCAAATTTGTAATTGTCCTTATGGTCAACAGTACAATTCTTATAATGTTTGTCTAGAGAATTTAGTTTTGGATCAACTAATTCTCACCAAATTGATATTTTTCTTTATTCTCATCACTTATCTGGCTGCTACTGTATTGATATTTTAAGGAGAAATTCTGTCTCGGTCACTCATGGGAGTTAAGGGTTAACTCCATAAGTGACAGACAAGTGATGGGAATAAAGAATAACATCAATTAGGGGATCATTAGTTGATCCAATACCAAGTTCTCCATATGAAGATCATAAGAATTGTATAGAAGACAGTAAGGAGAATTCCTGATGAGATCTTGGGGGTGAAAGGGTCAAAATACTGCATGGGCCAGTCCTGCATACTTAATCACCTTAAAGAGAAAGTAGCAGCACATTTTCAAGTTATATCATATATCTAAAACTATTGGCAAATAAACATACTAGGCTCTCGTGTTTTGAAAATGCAATCATTGCTTCCAAATACTGCCTGAAGTTTGGAGGTTTCTCCTTGGGCTTGTCACTATTCTAAAAAAAAAAAGAGAGAGAGAGAGAAAAAGATTTACAGCTGCTAAGTGTAAAGCATCACTGCAAGGCAATGACCAGGGACCAACCACTCATAGAATCAATCAAAAGTACATAACCTTCATTCTGAAGATCTTTGCAAGATGTGCTTATTGACTCGAGTTCAGCATCTCATCTCTGGACATGAAAGAATCACTAGAGTAGCAAGTTTGGTGCAAATTTTACTAAAATTTTGAAGACCCAAAAATATGCAGTTGCATTTGATGAAAGTGTGCACTCGGCCTGCCAACCTTCAAACAGAGCCAAAGTTATTGTCCTTGATATTTCTCAAACAAACTTATTGAAACCTTAAATTGATCAGGAAGGACCTCAGTTTTACAAAAAAGGGATGCTTTTTAAAAGTAATTTTGACTCTTACCCACAGGTGGAAGAGCTGCACCTCTCCAAGTGTCACAAGAACCTGGCAGAGCCTCTTAAGAAAGAGATACTGTCTCTCATCAAATTCTGCGGTAACTGATTTTCTGAGAAAATAGAGATATGATTTTTTTAAAAAATTTAACAAATTTCCAATCATTTTTATGTCGGCAAAACTGAGTATTGTTTAAGGAATTTACACCTGCATGAACATAATTATAATTATTATCAAAATATCAGGAAGCAAAAATTTCATTCTCTTATCCATTACATGTACATTATGATATCCCCTTTGGCAAGGTAAGCATGAGACAAAGAAAAAATTCTTCATCACTCCTATGCTGAGTACCACTGAGCCACAGAGACTATAGGCTGCTTACTGCTGAGATCAGCAATGTCTAAAGCATCATCTGTGTCAATAGAGTTAGCATTAGAATCCTCATGGGATTCGCTCAGATTTTTTAATTTGTCCTGCACTTATGATGAGACCAAAAAACACCTTTCTCCTCATCTTCATCAAGCTCAAAATCTGCCATCTTCCTAATGGTTAGTGCACTGGACTCTGGGGCAAGGGGTCTGAATTCAAGACCTGGCCAGGTCAAAGTGTTATGTTCTTGGGCAAAAAATTTTATTCTCGCAGTGCCTCTCTCTCTCCACCCAGGAGTATAAATGGGTCCTGGGGAATTGTCATGGAAGCCTGATGGAATGCTGGAAGTAAACTTGCATTCAATGGACTAGCATCCCATAAAAATACACGTTACCCTCACTTGGCTTGAGCACAGACTTAACCATCCCACCCATGTTTGTACTACAAAAAAACCCCAGACATACTGACAAGGTGTAGTATTGTTAAGGGCCCAAGTAACTCAAGATAATTTTACCAAGAGAGACACAAAGTCAAAATAAATTTCAAGATTAGAAACAAATTCTCCTTACTGAGCAGCAGACAACATGACACTCATGGCATCCTCACTAAACAACTTCAACATTGGAATCCTTTGTTCGTTTTTACCCTAGAAAAGCAAATTAAACAGAACTTTCAACAAACAGAAAATTGCTCTCTGGCATGATACTTTCAAAAGCACGAAGCAAATGTAATTGATGTAATAACTTAAGGTTATTTAAAGAATGACTGTTATTGCTTATTCCTTGCCTCATAATTGGACAGGTGTAATTATAGGTTGATATTATTCAACTCGTATGTCATTTTATCAAATAAGGTCACCAGAATGCACAAAATATGCCATGGTATTAAACTTTTGAACAGGGCAAGAATACAGAGCAACAAAATGACCACACTGAAAGATCCAAACTTCCATTTTTTTTTTTTGTTTGTTTGTTTCCTTTGAATTTTTCATTGGTCACATTAAAACACTTTTCCTCTCTCCTTTGTTTTTCTCTTTTGTGTCCTCCTTATGTGATCGATATGATCCACAGACTAAGGCCCTAGGATGTATTTTACAAACTAAAATCTAAATGCAAAAAAGGAAAATAATAAATTGTTGCCCGTATTTTCCTTGCCCTTTAGGGCTCTGGAAAATACATCATAACTTGCAAAATATCAGTGCATATTTTATGTCAAACCATCAAATAAAGTACACAATATTAAATAAACTAATACTATTATTAATAGTAATTACCTTTCTACTGACAATAATCAAAAGACATTCACAACTTGGTATTTTCAGTGAGTCTTCCTCCAGTAGTAAACACAACATCTGTAGTATGATACAATTCTTTATGTACAATGTTCCGAACTTCACCCAGTCTACAAATCCAGCTAATGTCAGGAGGGTCTGCTCAGCAAGTCTCTGGTGCACTGCCGCCTTGGAGAAGAGAAATTTCAAATGTGAATGAAGGTTTGAATCAATTAACCTTTTTCAGTAGTGGTGTTCTCCCCTAGTTTTAAGCACCACAGGTAAAGATAATTATTACCAAAACATCTGGACAATCCCTTTACCTCTTGAATTTTCAATGATTTCAAGCAATTTTAGATGGTAATAAGTAGTGCTGGTACTATAGGTGGTAATTCTTATCAGAGACCCGCTAAAAAAGGAGAACACTGCAGTAATAAAGGCACTTAATCATTAGTAGGCCCCAGAAAAGCAGGGAAAAAGAAAAGTACCAAACAATTTCACTCTCTCTCTATCCTCTACTTGCAGCCATTCACTGGCAGAATAGAAGCCTGTAATGTATCATGATGTAAGGCATTTTTTCCATTATCTTTAATACATATACCTGATTTGAAAAGAGAAATTTAGGCATTAGAATTATTAAGGGCTCATTATTTGCTGCTTTCATCCACAAATGACTGAACACTGTATACAAAAAAACTTCTAACCTGAGCCTTGCAGCTGGTGTCCCCACTTTCAACCTGGCTCTATGAAAAGGAACATGTGCATCAAAATAAAATCATTGATAATTATTACAAGCCAGAGTGTAAAACCTAATTATCATTATTTTTATTCAAAACTAATCCTATACCGTAATCATTCTAATGATGCTGAGGCTCCTCTCAAAACTTTCAGAAGGAGAGCTTTATCACAGAGAGGAGCAGGAGCTTGTACAAAATCACTGAGGGCCAAAAAGGGAGTCATCATTTTTCTTCTAAACACACTGCCCTGCTTTAAAAAAAACAGTGTGCATTTCTTCTGTTCGAAAATCCTTAACTATTCAACACAGAAGCAAATACAGGCTTTGAAATACACCATGGTATTTTCCACCAAGGTATTACAATATTATGCAGTGCAGTAAATAAGCATTTGCATACCATCAAAATGAATTGCATGTGCATTTTTCCCCTACTATTTTAACTTGATAGACTCTGTCTCAACCAGAAGCAGGGTTGGGGAGGGGGGTATTCAGAATTTTGCTCCTTTCTGCTACAAGTTACATACAGCTATAGCTGTCAGTTACAAAACTAGTTCAAAGATATGGGGCTCACCTTTAGACTCCTAAACCTTGCAGTATTTTGCTGCAGTGTGTCAATGAAGAAAGTGAACAAGCCATCCATGTGAGAGTGTAATTCTTGTGTAATCTGTTTCTTTCTATTGGCATGCAGATTGCTATCCATTGACATTACATCTTCCGCAAGTCGCAGAAGAACCATCAGCACCATTTCTGTTTGCACATTCTGAAGTCAGAAAAGTGAAAGCTAGTCAGCTGATGGTAATCTGATAAGGAAGTACAGCTGGTCAACCAGCTACTCCAGACTGTTCGGTCCAATGTCATGATTTTAGATTCTAATAGGACAATTTTGGCAAATTCTCTACGTGTCCTTTAGATGTGAAGAAACTTCAGAAGTTCAGAACTACCATAACACAATGAAATACTGACACTTCCCCTTTACAGTATCTCATCACAATATCAAAAGAGTGAATTCAAGCTTGTGCCTCACCCCCATTGTACAGATGTCATTGAGGTCTGGAAGCAGCGATCCCCATTTCTGTGGCCACTCCCTTTTGGTTATCTCCACCACCAGCCTTGCTAATGCTTCCTTGATGTGGAATGGTTCATCTGGCAGGGAGCCACTTCCCTAGTACAAAACACACAAATTAAACATGAGGCAATGGAAATTTTCTGACAATAAAATTTACTTTACATCCGAATTGTATCCAAGCTTGGTTTGAGTTATAAATTTACATGTATAATGCCACTTAACCACATCAAAGTTAGTTTCTCCTTGGCACTTTCTAATTACTTCTTAATGACAGTACAAAAATCAATTTACCAAAAAAGAGGCTAGAGTCCAAACTCTGAAGAAATATTATTAAATGTATTAAATTTGTTAAATGAACCACAACATTTGTCTAAAATAAAAACTCTGAAACTTCTTAAATTCCAAACAAAGGGGCTGCACTAACAAAAACTCAAAAACAACTTATTAAAACTCAGCCAAAATAACAACAAAAGTTCATGAGAAAATGTCCATGTCAGTTTTCAAAAGTCAAGGTTAGAGTTCTTCTATGTGATTGGTTCATTTGTGAAGCCACGTGCACCACACATGAATACAAAAAGACTACAAAGGGGGGAGAGGAAGAGAAAAATTGTTACTTGAAATTTAAAAAAACCAAAATTTTTTTCTACAATGACCTAAGGTGGGGCAAGGGGAACCCTCACTCTCGTTTGAAATCTTTAATTTCATATCTTTTAACGACTCAAAGTGAATTAATGTTTCTTCCTTCTAGCTCCGATCAATTTGGTAAGTTTGGCGTTAATTATTAAAGATTAAACCCTTCACATGCTAAGTATAAAAAAGCAAATGAAAGCAAGTGCATTTCACCATTTATGGGCGAAGTAGTTTTTGAAAGTTCTTGCAATTGCACAAGCCATAGGACTCAAGAAAAGAGAGAAGTTACTTCCTAATTCCATGAGAAAATCTGTTTGTGCTCTAATACAAACTTGAGGGAACAGTTACCACCCCTGAATGGACAATAATAGCAGATATTAATTTTCTTGATCTACCTGTGCAAGCAAGTGAAGTGAGATCCCTTTCAATCTTGCTTGTTCATCTTCACTCATTGAATTCCAATTGAATCTGTCATTAAGACAAAAAAACAAACAAACAACAAATGTGAGAATCGTCCCTGAGGAACCTTCCTGTCTTTGCAATAGTTGCTAGAACTAGATCCAAAAAATAACTTTCAAAACATTTGACATTAAAACAGATAACTGCACAGGTTCAACAACTGTCTTAAACTACTTGTCTCCCACCCTGTTCTTACGTCTTCCCCCCCTTCCCCCTTTCCCCCCCTTCCTTCCCCTCCTCCCTCCAAATTCCCAACTCATCAAATGCATTGGTGCCTGAAGTACAAAACCACATTCCTAACCTCAACCAACATCCTAAGCTCTTAAATGTATTAGAGAGCAGACAGCTTATTTTGCATCAGGAGAATATTTCAGTTACTAAAAGGAATTCTTTGGCTTAATTGCAATGTTCTGAACCTTTTTACTTCTATAAGTATACCTCTTGCTGGTCAATATCTAAATGACTTGATCTTAGAGAAGGTAGGGGATTTCTTATAACCATAAGCACAAGAGAAATATTGACTCTAAAGTAATATTCAGAATTAGCTTTACTTGACTGCATGTTCCAAAAGTTGAAGACCGGTATGTCGCACCATAGCAGAATTTTGACGATCAAACAATAGCTTGCCAACAGAAACACACAGTGGTGAGCTGGCCTTGAACTGCTCAATAAACTGAATGATGAAAACAAAACAAACAAACAAAGGATAAGTTTCACATGTAAACAAACAGAATGAAACATGCATCAAGTAGATCCTTAGATCTCTTTTTTTTTTTCTTTCTTTTTTTTCCCAGTAAAATGAAACTTTATCAAATAAACAGTACCCTGCACTTATGAAGCGGACACTAGCAAGGGCCCTTATATGTTTAAACACATATTTCTCATGGTGTCACTCCTGCTTTCTATGGGAGTTTCCATAAAAAAAAAAGTAGGGGCCCATGTCACTCCCTCAGGAATTTTCCATTTTTTTGGTTTGTGCTTGGATTTTCCACATGCAAAAAGGGTGTTTATCATTTATTTATTATTATTATTATTTTTTGTTTATTCATTTTTTTTTATTGATGTCATTTGGTCTTTGTTTGACAGGCAGGAAACAATTTGAAAACCTCTGGCAAATATGAGATTGGGGTCATGGAATTGTGTTGATTGATGGAAAAATTTAGGTGGTGGATTGTGTCTCTGAGTTAGGAGGTTTGAGGGTTTAAAGGTTTGATTTGGGGAGAGATAAAAATTAAACAGTTAGCCTCCTGACAGCTGGGGTCTCATTGAAATGCAATATGTTTGTGACATTTAATTCCGATCGAATTTGGTTTACTCAATTCAATAAATGAAGATGCTGCTTCCTTTTCCAATTATTTCATAAAGATATCAATATACGAGGTGTTATGGATTAAAAATTATTGGTACTCCACGTGAAAATAGTAGGCATGACCGAACCAGAAAGCTAACACTACAAGAACGAAACGAAAGCAAACTTGTTTTCTCTGCTCCAGATTATTACTTTCGCTCTCCTAAAAGTAAATTTGTGATATAAAAACACTACCTCATAAGCCTCTTTTCTTTCCTGTTGTGTAGTTAACGGATTCAGAGCCGCCTCGATAGCTTTTATCATTAGCAGCGCCACTTCCCGTTCAGCCGCCATCTTGCGGTGGGGACGCTTTTAACAAAACGTTGTGTAATGAAAATATAGTGTCCTTCCAAATGAAGTCCGCTGATAAATCATTTACATAGGCGTCTCCATCAGCTGGTCTATACTTTGTCGCAGCGCTCGCATAAACATGGTTTCTAGTTTCCTCACGAGGAAATAATGATCGCTTTTTTTCTGTAGTAGGGCTTCATTTTTTTGCATTATATATTAATACATTATCCATTCATTCCGAGGCTGAATGTGTCTCGGTAGGCAATATTTCGAAGAACGAGTACGCGCGCGAGAAATCGCGTGGAAGACGATGTCCTTGATCGATGCAAGTGACATTTAAATCTCGCTGTTTCGTGTGATTGTTTCCTTCCGTCTTAATGATGGCGGATGAATCGTTCACTGATGGCAGAGCATCGGAAGAACCATACACAAGGGTACGAACCTTGGGACGTGGGGCATTCGGCGAGGCAGTTTTGTATCGCAAAACAGAGGTAGGAAAATGGGAAGTCAGTCTGGGTTTTGCCACAACAATCTAGTCTGCATCGATCTAGGCAAAGTGTGCAAACTCTATCCATTTTGCAAATTTTATCTCTCTCCAGCGGTCTTTACAGCAGAAAAGTGTTGAAATATTTTTTAAGATGCTGGATATCAAATATTTTTCTGCTCGTGGCAAATTTATTTGATTCTTAGAGAGACCACCTGCCGAAATGATTGAAAAAGATGGAAATCGCTTTTGTTGACTTTGAACGAATTGCAATTGTATTTGATTATAGGAGAAGTTACTTCTTCATGATAAAGTCAGCATCTTAATTAATTAAAATGGCTTTGGCAAACTAATGTTTTTGATATAAAAAAATGATGGTAGTTTGAGCGCATACTTGTATCAAGTTGCCACATGTTGAAAGCTCTGAATAAATTTGTGTTTTTAATCAAGCTTTAAGTTATTACAGTGGCTAAAATTCCGCATTGGTAGCTAAATTTTCCGCTTTTATAACATAATTTCTCTATTTATGTGTACATTTTTTTTCAATACTCAGAGGGATATAATTTACCAAACCTACCTATCAAGAGGCTAAAATGCCTACTAAACGTTTTAAAAGAGAAAAATTAACAGCTTAATTTGCAGTTTATTTTTTCCAAGACCAGAGACGATTTCAAGATCATTCAATAAATAAGTTTCACACAATTTTGGTAGCTTATTTAGCAGTGTACAATATTTTACTCTGAGTCAAAGAGATCAAGTTGTCTCATTGTCCCCAAGTTAGTAAGGGTGTAATTTTCAGCATTTTGTTAAGTTCAAATGTGGAAGTATACTCAAGTGACCTTTGAAAATATAAGCTTGCCTTAATCTGGCACTTTATTTAAATTTGATTAAAAGAAATAAATTAAATCTTCAGAGCATCATGCAGCGAGCTACGGAAATAGTTATTCAGGAATCAGTAGAAGTGTAAGCAAGTGGTTATAATAGTGATAATCAGCTTATAATAATGCAGTGTTGGTGAGTTTCAGATATAATGTTACTCATCAAAGAAATGTGAGAGGTTTATTTTTTGAAAGCTGCACTTGAAATGTTTGGTTTTATCATAAGCTGTTTAGGATAACTAATCCTGTCTGGATTTAGATTACTGTCATTTGATATCCAGGAAAATAATAAGACAAGACAAGTTAATACTCAGAGGATTACACTGCATGCTTATAATGAGTGGATCTGCAGAGGTCACTACTAGAGAAATACTTTAAATTCTTTGACTTGTTATTCTTATTTGTTGGGCAGAGCATGTCTCATTTATCAACACATCAAGTTGTGGAGATTTTTAAAACCAGCTCCTCTTTGCCCCTGAATAAGCTGACAATCATTTAGGATCTTGTATTGTTTATTCAAGTTTAAAATGACATTTTTTCACCTTTGGAATCAAAGGTTTATATTACAACACATGACACAAAAAAAAAGAGAAAAGATGGATGCCTATTAACTTTGATAAGGGAGCAATTGTTGAAATATTGTAATTGGATGACACGCAATTAGCACTAAATAGTGGGCACTTGATTTGTACTGAAGTGTTTGATAACAATATTTTGAGATAAGGTAACAAATACAATCCAAACAACATGTTGGCAGATGCATTGGTCAATACATCAGCCTACAGTCCATGGACTGCCTATGGACTGGCAGCCAACTGTTGGCCCACTGGCTAGCAGATCCTAAAAGTTTCTGTCTTGCTACTGTGTTACAGCGAATCAGTTGTGTTTTTAAAGTTAGGTCTTCTTCCAATGTACTAAGCCTTCTTTGGGGTTTAACAGGCCTACATGGTTATTACTGTCTGTAGGCTGGTAGAGTCAAGGGTCCTTACAATGTGACACTGGCAAAACCTATAAGTTTCTGTTTTTCCTGTTGTGTTACAGCCAATCAGTTGTCTTTTTATAGTTAGGTCTTTTTCCAATGTATCAAGCCTTCTTTGGGGCTTAACAAGTCTGCATGTCATTCTCTACTACCTCTTTCCCTGTGAGTCCCACCTGTCAGTCAAAATCCTGCCATTGATTTCATCTCAATATTAGCAACTATTTTGAGAAAAAATCAGTCTGCTTTTAATAGTTCAAACAGATTTTGTTTTTGATTGGTAAATTTAATGTTGTTAGTACTGTTTTTGATTAGTTGTTTTGTTATGTGATTTCCTATTTAGGACAATGTGCTTGTTGTTGTAAAGGAAGTGAACTTGAGTCGAGCAACTGACAAGGAGAGAGTGGATGCAGAAAAAGAAGTGGAAATTCTCTCCTTACTAAATCACACTAATATTGTGACATACTTTAATCATTACATTGATGGTACATCACTGCTCATTGAGATGGAATATTGCAATGGTGGAACTCTCAATGACAAGATATATGGTCAAAAGGAATTATTTGCTGAGGAGGTACTCATACAATTCTCAATGTCCTGTTGGCCGGTTAAGTTTTGTGTGTTTTTTAAGTTGATATTGCTACCCTAACTAATGGTACGGTTACTGTACTTATGGTAGTGATGAAATAAATCACAGATCTATTTTCAATGGTGAAAACTTTAATTTCGTTTTTCATTTCAGATTGTGATCTGGTATTTCTTTCAAATTTGTTCTGGAATGAGTCATATTCATGAATGTGGTGTTGTTCACAGGTAATTGAGTCTTTTCATTCAATACCTTTTGATGTTGAGTACTTTTCTCAAAGCTAATAGATACATTTATCACGTTCATCTTACTAATTGAATGGAGGGGAAAGGAGAGAAATACTGGGTCATTTTTTTTCTAAGCAAACACAGTAGATATTATAATGTCCTTGCCAACTGAATAAAAGGGACAGAAGAGAAAATATTTGGCCAGAAGTTATGAAAAACAGAGGGAGCATCATAACTAAGAGCCAAATACTCCTCTGCCCCACCCCACATTATTCATGAGTTATGAAAAGTGATGGTCAGTTTTATCAAATGACCATCACTTTTTGGTTTTCTTCTCTCTTCTTTCAACCTGCATCTCACTAGGCCATACACTTGAAGCTGAAGCTGTCCCATTTGGCCCTAAAACTGAGATTTTTGTCTAAGGTTTTCAAGAAAGCAGACAATTCAGGGGCAGTGCAGGTCATGATATGTTAAGTTTTAAGGCATGATAATGAAACACTGTGTTTGTTTTTCTTGTTAGAGATATCAAGACCCTAAACATCTTCCTGACCAAATCTGGACTGGTAAAACTTGGAGACTTTGGCATAGCAACTGTATTAAAAAGCTCCAAAGAATACATGGCAGAATCTGTAAGAAAAGTGCCTCAGAGTTTATTTTTTTCTGATCTATAAGAAAGGTTGGGGTGCTATATAATTATATATCAGTGTAATCACCTTGGCCTTTACACGAATCAAAACTCAGAAACTGTAATGCAACTTTTTATTCTTACGTGCATGTAAGCTTTTAAATTACTACTGATAATTATTAAATAAACTAGGTACATGATTGTATTTTGTCTTAATTGATCTCAACAATTTCTTATAAAGTCATCATTCAGTTCAAAGAGCAGAAATTGGGGTTGAACTGAGCAACAAAAAAGTTGCAAGAATTAAGATGCTATGTACATCAAAATATTAGATTTATCTTAAAGGTTTTTTTTTTTCATTTTTTTTCCATTTCAAAGCAATTCATAGTCTGTGATGGTTTTTAGGTTGTTGGAACACCATATTATATGTCACCAGAGATTGTCCAGGGACAAAAGTAAGTACTTGTTCTTGGGTTTGATTTATTTCTTATTTAGTTCATTCCTGTGAAGGGCCATTGTTGATTGAATTTAACTTTCACTTAAAGGTACAACCAAAAGAGTGACATGTGGGCTCTGGGGTGTGTCCTATATGAGATGCTCACCTTAAAAAAAGTGTTTGATGCAACTGTAAGTAATAATTATAATGATTATAATACTAATAATAATAGTAATAGTAATAATAATTATAATAATAATAATAATAATCACAATGATAATGATTAAAAAAATAATGTAATAATGATGTTGGTAATAATAATAACAATTGAGGACAAGTTAGAGTGATCTTCACAGTAAAGAACAAAAGAACACTACTTATAAGCTGTAATGAAAATAAAGCTTGAAAAAATATTCATTATGAGTTAGACTTGAAGTGTAGAATTACTATATGTAAATGAAGATGAGGTCCTTGCAATGATGAGCATTACTTATTAATGAGCAACAGTGAAAATGAAACCTAAAAAAAATTCAGACATGTGGATTAATAAATGAGCATGAGAACAATCTTCCCAGTAATGAAACTGTAATTCAGCAACATGCTATCCTTATATTGACAGTAATTCAATCATCACTTCATGGGTTTATAACAAACAAACAAAAAGACCAACTCCCAGATGGTTTGTTAGCTTGGTTGGTGGAGCTCTGCACCAATATCACAGAGGTCATGGGTTCAAATCCCATACAACCTGAATATTAAGAGTGCCCATTTTATTCAGAAATAATTTAATCAAAC